GTTCGCACAGTCCTAATCTAGTGGTGGGCCCTTGACCTCAATAGCAGAGTGAATGTAAATGCTTGAGATAATAAAAACATGCAGTACAAGGAATATAAATAAGACTACAAGGGGATACCAATCGACCTAGCTAGCCATGTACTCTATGGGGTACATTCCCTTATTGCAGCGAAATCCAACCGTGCGACTCTAGACAGTTACGAAACTGTTCGGACAGAATCCTCGCCACTGCTGCTGCCTGATGCTGTCTGCCCGACGGTCCAGATCCTTTCGTAACCGTGTGACTCTTCGTGTCACCTCCGCCTGTCTGTCTTCATTCTCGGTAGTACGTGCTTCGATTGCTGCGGTGAGGAGTGTACAATAGTGTTTCAACAATCACTATTCGTAACACTACCCAATGCTGGAATGGATTTCGAAAGAGTTAACGGCGAAGATCTGTTTTCTGACGTGACAACGCGAATGGGTTCCAAGACAGAGAACCTTCAGGAGGCATTTGTGCAAATAAAAGACATTAATCTACGGCATGCTACGATCACGTTCCAGTCAAGAGGAAAGCCTGGAGGGAATTCAGGCAGGGTGAAACCAGGTGGTGCAATTTCCATTCACCGCTGTCGTCCAGGGATGTTCAGAAAATCTCCTATCACATTGCTCAACAAGCAGCTGCGAGTACAACCAAGCAAGATTGTGGCAAGAACCGCTCTGTACCGCTCCCGACATGAAGCAACAGTCAAAGCAACCAACTCTCGAAGGAAGGACGGGTCTGAAACTGGAACAACCCCGACGCAACACAACCGGCAATACCCAACTCATGTGACTCTGACGGATCTGAATTGTGCCAATAGTGCAATGGGAATATTGGACGGTCAGGCTGCAATATTTAGGCATCTGATTTTTAAACCACCGTAGAGGCATCCGCGAGGGTACGATATACTATACCTAGGCCCTCTAGCACGGTTACGACCGATGGATGGTGTTTTAGCATTGTATAATGTAATTTCACCTCCTGCAAAAAAAAAAAAAAAAAAAAACAACTCGTTATCTCCAGTTCGTAAAACAAAGCTAACAGAAATCACAATAATGTAGAAAAATAATGTAGAAATCACAACTCGTTATCTCCACTCGTTATAAGCCCAGTGAACAATAATGTAGATCGGAAAAGCGAACGAGAATCTGTAAAACCAGAAACATATAAGCTTTTTCGTTACTGTAGAAGCCCATGCCCCTTTTTACAGGGTGCGCTTTTATCCTGGGTACAACTGTGCTATTCTTTTTGTAAAAATACTCGTTTGGTGTAGCCTTGACAGAGTGTTCTCCACGTTGCCCTCCTACGAGACCTACGCTGACCGAAACTGAAGGCTCACCGTGAGTCCCGCAACGTGCGTTCAGAATGCGCCGCGAGCGTCTGACATGGCAACCTGCACCACGAAAGAGTCAACCAGCCACGTCCCCGAAGCGCTAGTTTCCCAACCTCAATGTGCGACTCGATCCCACATTGCCTGCACCAATTTCTTTCCTCACCGTGAGACCCAACTACCAGCCATTTCTGTTGCCCCCGCACATCCAGTAATTTCTTCCCCTCCCGCACGTTCCCAGCCCTTGGTTGCGTTGGTGTTGTGAGCTGTGGTCTCTCTCAGCATGCAACACACTCAACCTTCACTTCGGTTGGGCTGTTTCTCTCTGCACTCCACCCACACCACCTCGCGCTCTCACAACACCTTGCAAGCAAGAAGTCACAGCCACCAATCCCTCCCTCATATAGCCCCTTGACTCTCCACCACCACGTCATTCGTCGCGGTTCCAGCCTGCACCCTTGGCGTGCTAGTAGGCCGCTATCCCGCATCGCCTTTGCACGTCTTCCGGAACGCGTTTTTCACGTGCACGTGATTCAGTCGCTTTTCTCAACCACGCCCAGCCCTTGGCGACTGACCAGAATTTCGAGTCTCACTCAACCAGTCTGATCCTCCTTGTCTCAGTCAGACGAATAGGCGTTGGAGCTAGACAACCAGAATAGCAACGACCTGCTCCCGTCTGCTATCTCTGTTCCGTCCAAGCGCATTGCAGTAGCGCATTGCAGTTGCTCTTCGTCAGAGATCGTCAAACCCGATCCAGCAGAGCCAGTAAAGTGTTATTGTTAATATACACCTGCCGCCCTTCGAAGGCGCTTCCTTTCGATCTTCTGGCCTCCCTAGCTAACGACGCGGCAAGGCCCACATTATTGCGTCGATCGAGTAGCAACTGTCGTATCGTTGCATCAGAGCGTAGGCTGCACAAACAGGAATACGCGAGGCGTGTTAGCGCCGTCCGTGTCCGTTGTTTGAGGCACACTCCGTGGCCTTTTCTCAAAGGGGCCGACACATGGAGTTGATTAATTAAAGATATCGTTCCTAAAGTAAAGCTGAGCTGGCAAGCATGGGGAAAGCGGACGGGAGGGGTTTGTCTGTGTCGTCGGCTCTGTTCTTACTCGTCACGGTTCTCATCACCCTGCATGCCGCAACTCCCGCACAAAGTCAAGGTATATATTCTTTCCGTAAAAGCAGACTAGTGCCGGAACTTTCTCCACCGTTTAGAGCGGTAGAGGAGAAGTTTTACTTGTTTTACATGAGAGCCATAAGCGGGGCATATGCACTTGCAAGTATCTGAGCTGGAGTTTAGGGTGGGCCGTAGTGGCGCATTGCAAGAGAGGCAACAGGGTATTCAAAGGAAGTCACACGAGCAGGTTACCGTTGAATAGATTGACCCAGGCATAACGAGGCATTTTAGTGCGTGCTGCCCTCCTTACAATAACAGTGCCGATAATTTGGTTCCTAATGACAATTTTCCATTTTCCTGCTGTCGCGTTCCTTTCAGAAGTTGCAAGAAGACATGGAGAAGGAACCGAAACCGCTGGGCATATGGACACGTGGCAATTGTTGAATGGACAGACATCATTTGAGAGAACGGTGAGTGGGATGCGGCAATTTCTAACAATAGCATCGATCTGTGAATTATCAGACAAGTACACAAACGGAAGAAATATTACGTACAAGCATGAAGCGAACTTAACCGACGTTTTCTTTGTTTGGAAGCCAACCTCAATAGTGTACCTCCTGCTTTCTATTTGATATATTTGATATTTTGCCTTTCCCGAACGTGGCCATCCTCAGAAACCTGAGGACGACCTTGAAGTTGTCGCGCGACGACTAGCTTCGTCATCCGGTTCTGGCGACTCCGATTCCTCGTCAGACTCCGGCAGTGGCGACGGAGGCAGCAGCGGCGATGGAGGCAGCGGCGGCGGCGATTCGTCGTCTTCGTCGTCAGACTCTGGAAGCTCCGACTCGTCTTCAAAATCGTCGTCTTCGTCAGGATCCGGCGATTCGTCGTCTTCGTCAGGATCTTCGTCTTCTTCTAGCGACGGGGGTGGCGGAGGCGACGGAAACGGAAGTTCTGGCGGTTCCTCTGATAAATCGTCAGGCTCGTCGTCGTCTGATTCGTCGTCAGGCTCGTCGTCGTCCAGCTCCAGCGGGAAAAAGAAGAAAAAGAAGAGCTCCTCCTCCTCTTCCTCTTCTTCAGATTCTTCCTCAGATTCATCGTCATCGTCAGATTCTTCGTCATCGTCATCGTCAGATTCGTCGTCATCGTCATCGTCTTCTAAAAAGAAGAAATCTAAGAAGAGTTCTAAGAGCAGCGGATCGTCGTCTGATAGCAACGGCGGTTCGTCTTCAGGAGATTCGTCAGGAGATTCGTCAGGGTCTTCGGGTTCGTCCTCTGACAGCGGCGGCGGTTCCTCCTCGTCCGATTCAGGATCCGACGGTGGTGATTCGTCTGGTTCGTCGGGTTCAGGATCCGACGGCGAAGGATCCTCCTCCTCCTCGTCCTCGTCATCGTCTTCTAAGAAGAAAAAGAGTAAGAGTAAGAAGAAGTCGTCTTCTTCTTCGAGCAGCGGGAACGACGGCGTCTCGTCGTCTTCTTCCTCGTCCTCTGGCTCCAAGAAAAAGAAGAAGAGTAAAAAGAGTTCCTCATCGGACAGTGGCGACAGCGGCTCAAGCTCGTCCGATAGCGGTTCCTCTTCTAACGGGGACTCTTCCTCTGGCAGCGGCGACGGAGGTGACGGAGGTTCGTCAGGCGACGGAGGAAGTGACGGAAAAAGGGTTCAAGAGAGTGTCGGCGACGGGGGAGGAGGAGGAAGCGGAGGAGACGGAGGAGGGAGCGGCGGAGGAGACGGAGGGGGAGGTTCGTCGTCGTCTTCCGGAAAGAAGAAGAAAAAGGGTTCCAAGAAAAAGAGTTCGAAGAAGAAGGGATCAAAGAAAAGCTCTAAGGATGGTTCGAGCTCCGGGGGAGACGGGGAAGGCAGCGGGAGCGGCTCGTCGAAGAAACATAAGAAGAGTTCGAAGAAGCGCTATACGCAGGGAGAAGGCGACGGGTCATCGGGTAACGGTGACGGAAACGGTGACGGCAATGGCGGCGGCGACGGTGGCAGTGGTGACGGAAACGGAGACGGAGGCGACGGAAACGGTGACGGAAACGGTGACGGAAACGGCAGCGGAGACGGAGGAGGAGACGGAGGAGGAGACGGTGGAGGAGGGAAGAGTTCCAAGAAAGGAAAGAAGAAAAAGTCTTCTTCCTCAGGTTCTCATTCGAAGAGTTCGTCGCATTCTAAAGGGTCTTCGCATTCTAAAGGGTCTTCTTCTGATGGCGATAACGGCGACGGCGGAGGCGACGGAGGTGGCGACGGCGGCGGCGACGGGGGTGGCGATGGGAGCGGAAACGGCGACAGCGGTGATGGGGGCGACGGCGGTGGCGATGGGGGTGACGACGGTGGCGACGGAGGCGACGGAGGCGACGGCGGTGGCGATGGGGGCGACGGGGGCGGCGACGGAGGTGGCGACGGAGGTGGCGATGGGGGTGGCGACGGAGGCGACGGGGGCGGCGACGGAGGTGGCGACGGAGGTGGCGATAATGGTGGTGATGGCGAGGGATCAGGGTCTACGGAAGGTTCAGGTGACGACGGTGATTACTCCGACATGAACGCTCGGGAGAAGCGGAGTGTTGACGACAGTAACGGGGACGGCAGTAACGGGGATGACGGTAACGGGGATGACAGCTACGACTCTGGATCCGATTATAGCGGGGATGGAGGTGATGATTATAACAGCGATTCGTCCGGAAACGGAGGGGACGACTACAGCGATGGAAATTCTAACGACGGTGACTATAGCGAGGGCGACGGTAGCGGCGATGGTGACTATAACGAAGGCGATTACTCGCCCGATAACGGGAGCACGGAGGGAGATGGCGGCCGGAGGCAGCGGGGTTCATCCAACGGTTCAGGATCAAGCAGGAGGAAGAAGGGAAAGAAGAGATCGAGCCGTAAGGGGAAGCACGGAAAGAAGGGGAAGAAAGGGGGGAAGCACAAGGGCGACTCGTCTCCGCCAATCGCGAGCGATCCAGCCGCCCAATTGCCTCCAATTACAATCGTCCCGCCTTTCACGGTCAAAAATCCCCCGGTAATATCATTCCCGCCAATAATCACCAATCCGAAACCGGTTGACCCGTCACCAGCACCCCCGGTGGGCCCCCTCATACCCGATAATGTCAACCCGTTACCATTCGATCTCATCCCCGTTCCGCAACGAACAACCACCGACTCGTTTACGCTTAACCCGTTTAAAGGCAGAGTCGCGAGTTTCCCGTTGGAGCCTAGCCGAAAGGACCCTAAAGCCGGTCTGATAAAAAAGCCAAACCCGCCAGTGGTGAAACCGAAAGCGAAAGTGCCTACCCTCCCGCCAAACCCGAAAGTCCCGACGCTGCCGCCCGCGCCGAAACCGAAGGTGCAGATCCCGCCAACGACGCCGCCGAATGCGGGAGCAGTGGACCCGTCCGATCCCAACAATCCGTTCGCGAGTCCGTTTGACCCGCCGCCCGGCGCGAATGGCCCGTTGACTCCGACTGACCCGATTGACCCGCTGAATCCGCCGTCGCCGTCGCCGCCGGTGGTTGCTCCCAAGCCTTCTCCGCCTCCTGATGATGGTGAGAATGCACTCTTTTTTTGTTGCCAGTTTGTGTTTCTTTTTTTTGCTTTGAAGGTGTAGAGAAGTGTGTACACCAGAGGGAAGGTGTAGAAAATTTGTACACCAAAGGGAAGCTGTGCGCTGACGCTGCCGGTGGTTGCTCCCAAGCCTTCTCCGCCTCCTGATGATGGTGAGAATGCACTCTTTTTTGGTTGCCAGTTTGTGTTTCTATTTGCTTTGGAGGTGTAGAGAAGTGTGTACACCAGAGGGAAGGTGTGCGCCGTCGCCGCCGGTGATTTCCCTTGTTCTCTCCCCTCTTCTCCTCTCCCCTTCCCTCCACTTTTCCAGGTGCCGGTATGCCCAACACCACCGTCCCTCAAATGCTCCCCGATTCCTACAACACCTCAGCAGTCGTCTCACCATTTCCTTCGTTTCTTCCCCTCTTTCCCCCTCCTTCCCCCTCCTCCCTCCCCCCTGTTTCCAGGTGCCGGCATCCCCAACACCACCGTCCCACAAATGCTCCCCGATTCCCACAACGCCTCAACAGTCATTTGTCTCACCATCTGTCTCCCCCTTACCCCTTCCCCCCTCCCCTTCCTCATTCCTAAACCCTGGTATTCCCAACACCACTGTCCCACAGATGCTACCCGAATCCTTCAACTCGTCACCATTCTTCTCCTCTTTCCCCCTCCTCCCCCCTCCCCCCTTTCCCCTGTTTCCAGGTGCCGGTATTCCCAACACCACCGTCCCACAGATACTACCCGAATCCTTCAACTCGTCCGCCGTCATCACGCCTTCTCACCATTTCCCTTGTTCTCTCCTTTCTTCTTCCCCCCCCCCTCTTACACTTGTTTAGGTGCCGGTATCCCCAACACCACCGTCCCACAAATGCTCCCCGAATCATACAACGCCTCAGCAGTCATCAAGCCGAAAACCACCACCACCACCACCGCCCCTCCTGCGCCTCCGAACGACTCTGGGGTCAACACAATGATGGTGGTGCTCATGGTGACCATTCCCCCATTTCCCTTATCCCTTACCCCTCTCCCCGTCCACTACTTTGCAGGTGTCCCCCCCCTCCCGCTCCCCCCAACGTCTCTGGAGTCAACACAATGATGGTCGTGCTCATGGTGACCATTCCCTGACCCGGTTTCCCCGGTCTCACCATTTCCCTCGTTCCCTCCTCTCTTTCCCCTTCCCTCTCCCCCCTGCTTTCTTCCCTTTCCCAGGTGCCGGTATTCCCAACACAATGATGGTGGTGCTCATGGTCACGATTCCCTGACCCGGTTTCCCCTGTCTCACCATTTCCCTCGTTCCCTCCTCTCTTTCCCCTTCCCTCTCCCCCCAGGTGCCGGCATTCCCAACACCACCGTCCCACAAATGCTCCCTGATTCCTACAACGCCTCAGCAGTCATCAAGCCAAAAACCACCACCACCACAACCGCCCCTCCTGCTCCCCCCAACGACTCTGGGGTAAACACAATGATGGTCGTGCTCATGGTGACGATTCCCCTGGCTGCAGCAGCGGTGATTACAATGGGTTTGCTGGGGTGGAATCAGTACAGGAAATGGAGTATGAGCGCCCAAGGCCCTGCCACTGCTGGGGGTGGGGGTGGTGGGCTTGGTGGGGGGGGATATGAGACCCTGCAAGGGGGGCCGTTCAACCGATAATGCTCGCTAAGAGAATGACAGTGGGGTGCTGATGGTGACGATTCCCCTGGGTGCAGCAGCGGTGATTACGATGGGTATGCTGGGGTGGAGTCAGTATCGCAAGTGGAGCATGAGCGCCCAAGGCCCTGCCACTGCTGGGGGATCTGGGGCAGGGGGGGGTGGGCTTGGCGGTGGGGGGTATGAGACTCTGAGAGGGGGGCCATTTAACCTCTGATGACTGGGGGGGGGGGATGGGGGCATGTAATGATGGGTGTGGGTGGGAGTGGGTGTGGGTGGATGGGGGATGAGAGTCTGCAAATGGGGATTCCTGGGACTCTTGACCCAACAATAGCACAGGTAATGGGGGTTTAGCCAGAAGAGTGTGTGAAGGGCGGCACACTCCGGTTGACGATTTTTCTGTAGTTGCTGCAAATACAAACCCCTGCTGTGCAGGTGTATGGTAGTAGGTGTAGGGTAGATACTAGGGACAAACAGATAGTCTTCAAGACGTATGGGAAGTCTAGAAAAGCTGATGTACGATACCTACATCTCATCAACAACTTACTATTGAGATGCTCCTGCTCTTTCTACACGAATTATTGATTACAAAGTAAACTAATCCACTACACACAGCACACAATGCAGCAATATACCACCCAGCAAATTCTACATAATCTTGCAGCAATACCGGTAGAAGCAACTACAGTAAGGTAGTCTGCTGCCGGTGCATGCACCCTAACGCAACTTGGAACCACGTATCTGGCATTCACAAATCATCCGATTCTCCTGTTCTCCTTTGAGTAGATCAAAACTAGTGTCCAGACCAGATCACAGCCTTTACAACAAGGGGCAACAAAAGCACATCCTCGCACTCCACCCTCCCCAACCCATCCACAAGCAATCCATCCAGCCCACCGGACAGCCAAAAGTCAAAAGGTGGGTGCCTAAAAAAAGTCATCTGCCGTCTATAGATCATCCGATGCAGCCGTTCTCTTCCTCAGCCAATCAGGTTACCAGCCTCCAATTACCGTATCAACAAAACCACATCCCATGCAAAATCTCTCCCTCTTTGCTACACGCCTTTTGAGGGGCCTCAAAAGACTTGTGCCATGCACAGGTCCCCAGCACTCCCGTCCCACACCTCAGACGTCTTAGCACCAGCAGGCCTCTTTATCCTTGTGCCTTTCACAGGTCATCCGATGCAGCCGTTCTCTTCCTCAGCCGGTCAAACCTCGCCGCTGAGTCATAAATCCCCGGTAGAGACATCACATCGTGAGCACCCCCTCCCTCCCTCTACATGACTGTCCAACTGTCTACCTCCCCTTCACAGATCATCCGATGCAGCTGTTCTCTTCCTCAGCCGGTCAAACCTCGCCGCCAAGTCATCAATTCCCGGTAGAGACATCACATCATGAGCACCCCCTCCCACCCTCTACATGCTTGTCCAACTGTCTACCTCCCCTTCACAGATCATCCGATGCAGCTGTTCTCTTCCTCAGCCGGTCAAACCTCGCCGCCAAGTCATCAATTCCCGGTAGAGACATCACATCGTGAGCACCCCCTCCCTCCCTCTACATGCCTGTCCAACTGTCTACCTCCCCTTCACAGATCATCCGATGCAGCTGTTCTCTTCCTCAGCCGGTCAAACCTCGCTGCCAGGTCATCAATTCCCAGTAGAGACGTCACATCTCCCAACAATCCAGCTATTTGCTTCTTGATTCACCCCATAGGTGTCTCCCCCATTCACAGGTCATCCGATGCAGCCGTTCTCTTCCTCAGTCGGTCAAACCTCGCCGCTAAGTCATCAATTCCCAGTAGAGACATCACATCGTGAGCACCCCCTCCCTCCCTCTACATGCCTGTCCAACTGTCTGCCTCCCCTTCACAGATCGTCCGATGCAGCTGTTCTCTTCCTCAGCCGGTCAAACCTCGCTGCCAGGTCATCAATTCCCAGTAGAGACGTCACATCTCCCAACAATCCAGCTATTCGCTTCTTGATTCACCCCATAGGTGTCTCCCCCATTCACAGGTCATCCGATGCAGCCGTTCTCTTCCTCAGTCGGTCAAACCTCGCCGCTAAGTCATCAATCCCCGGAAGAGACATCACATCTCCCGACAAACCAGTCGTCCCCGGACCACTCTGCATTCCCGAACCTCCCATCCCCGAACCTGCCCCCGAGCCTACCCCCCCACCTCCTCCGCCGTACCCCGAGCCAGAACCGGAGCCGTACCCGCCCGAGCCTGGAACCGAGGGGAATTCCGAGCCTGAGTGGGAGGAATGGGTGGGGCCCGAACCTGGGACGGACGGGGCGTTGAAATCGCCGCTGTTGTTGCTGTTGCTGTTGTTGGCCCCCCTGGGAGATCGAGCAACGTAGTCATCGAAAGCATGTGCTGGGGTGCCGTGGCTTGTTGGCGCTGCTGACTCTCCACCATACCCACTACCCATGCCCCCTGCCCCTCCTGTTCCCCCTGCTCCTCCTCCTGCTCCTCCTCCTCCTGCTCCTCCTGCTCCTCCTGCCCCAAAGCCACCACTACCAGTTTCACCTGCTCGAGGTGACTTAGCCACAAAATCGTCAAATGCACTTGCACCCACAAACCCACCTCCTCCTCCTCCTCCTCCCCCTCCCCCTCCCCCTCCTCCCCCTCCCCCTCCTCTTCCCCCCACGATTCCTCTAGGGGGAGCTGGCAAATCCAGGCTCTCCTCTCCATCATGCATCCCGCCCCCTCCACCTGAACCACCTGAGGAATCACCTGGACCAACAGAACCACCTGGGGATCCACCTGGCATGCCGCCGTAAGCACTAGGCCCATAACGAGCGTTCACTGCCATTCCTCCCTGTCCGCCCATCATCCCTCCCCCTCCTCCTCCTGCCCCCGAACCATAACCAGCACCAATCCCCCCTCCCCCTATCCCCCCCATCCCCCCCATTCCACCGCCCCCGACAGCCATCCGCGCGGCATCTGACGCCCGCTGCGCTGCCAGCCTGGCGCGCTCTGACGACTCACGGATCGCCGCCATCTGGCGCTCTCTCTCCTCAGCCACACGATCAAACTCCCTGGCTACCTCGTTTTCTGCCTGCCGAATCTCCTCTGTGGAAAACGCACCACTGGGTTGGTTGCTACTCTGATTCTGGTAGTTACCCCCTCCTCCGCCCCCTCCCCCGCCTCCTCCTCCCCCTCCTCCTCCCCGTCCCCCTCCTCCACCGTAGCTACTAGGAGCATAATCCATAGCATCTCTCTTGAAAGCCTTCCCTTCCCCATACTTGGGTACAGATGATGCTGGGTAATCCAGAGGGTTACCACCCACGCCAGTGTAACCAGCCGAACCACCACCAGTACCATAACCACCACCACCGCCACCACCACCAGCAGCAGCAGAACCAGCAGCACCACCAGCAGCAGCACCGGCAGCAGCACCAGCAGCGGCAGCAGCAGAAGCGGGATGGGCAGGGTTATTTGCCTGCCCCTGCCCGCCTGCCCCTCCCACCCACCGCTTCTCATAATCATCTGCTGTAATGAGAGATTCTGTGCGCGGCGGGGCAGATGGAGGGCCGGTTTCGTACGGCTGGCTGCCCGCCGGAACATTTGCGGGCTGCCCGGGATTGTAGGGCTGCCCGGGGCCAAACATGTTGGGCATGGAGTCGTGAGGAGGGGGGGTCCTGGGAGCGTCTGGATGGGCAGATGTGTAGACTGGCTGGTTGGAACGAGGATCCTGAAGGGAAGAGGGGGGGAGGGAGGGGGGGGAGTCAAAGACAGAAAGATGAGTCATTGCAAGAGCATCTGGAAGGGCAGATGTGTAGACTGGCTGATTGGACCGAGGGTCCTGGAAGGGGCAAGAAGAGAAGGAGAAAGGGGGGAAGTGGGGAAAGGGGAAGGGAAGAAATGGGGAAGGGAGAAAGGGGAGACGATGGAGGGGGGGTTCCGTTCTGGGAGCGTCTGGAAGGGTAGATGTGTAGACTGGCTGATTGGAACGAGGGTCCTGAGGGGGGCGGTGGGGAGAAAGGGGAGCGAGGTCAAAGGCAGAAAGAAAAGTCACTTGAAAGGACAGCTGGATGGGCAGATGTGTAGACTGGCTGATTGGAACGCCTGAGGGAGGGAAACAAAGGAGGGGCAAAAACAAAGACAAGACAGATTGTTCAAGAGAAGCTGTAAGGGTAGATGTGTAGACTGGCTGATTGGAGTGAGGTTCCTGAGGGGGACAAGAAGAGAAGGAGAAGGGGGTGTGGGGGGATCGTGCCTTCGTATTTCGCCAGTAAATGCATCTGTATGCTCTCGACACACCATGCTGCACTCCTCCGCATCCTTTCACAGCCGTTGATTAAGCCCCACCCACCCACCCACACCCACCCACCCACCCACCCACCCACCCACCCACCCACCCACCCACCCACCCACCCACCCACCCACCCACCCACCCACCCACCCACCCACCCACCCACCCACCCACCCACCCACCCACCCACCCACCCACCCACCCACCCACCCACCCACCCACCCACCCACCCACCCACTCCCACCCACTCCCACCCACCCACTCCCACCCACTCCCACCCACCCACTCCCACCCACTCACTACTTCCTCTCCCACCAGTCACCGCACCGCCAACAGCTGCATCTGAACAAAACGTGTTACCAAGCCGTCCATGCCTTCGTACTTCGATAGTAAATCCCTCTGCATGCTCGCCGGGTCCCACTCCACTCCACTCCATGCCGTTCTCCTCTGCTGCATCTCACACTCCCCAACCTGACACCACCAGCATGCTCTCCCCACTTACACATGCACCATCATGTCTTCGTAATTCACCAGTAAATTCCTCTGCATGCTCGCCGGGTCCCACTCCACTCTGTTCTCCCCCAACCTGACAATCTCCAACCCGACACTCCCCAACTGCAAACTCACCATCGTATCTTCGTATTTCGCCAGCAAGGTCCTTCTGCATGCTCGCCGGGTCCCACTCCACTCTGTTCTCCCCCAACCTGACAATCTCCAACCCGACACTCCCCAATTGCAAACTCACCATCGTATCTTCGTATTTCGCCAGCAAGGTCCTTCTGCATGCTCGCCGGGTCCCACTCCACTCTGTTCTCCCCCAACCTGACAATCTCCAACCCGACACTCCCCAATTGCAAACTCACCATCGTATCTTCGTATTTCGCCAGCAAGGTCCTTCTGCTCGCCGGGTCCCACTCCACTCTGTTCTCCCCCAACCTGACAATCTCCAACCCGACACTCCCCAATTGCAAACTCACCATCGTATCTTCGTATTTCGCCAGCAAGGTCCTTCTGCATGCTCGCCGGGTCCCACTCCACTCTGTTCTCCCCCAACCTGACAATCTCCAACCCGACACTCCCCAATTGCAAACTCACCATCGTATCTTCGTATTTCGCCAGCAAGGTCCTTCTGCATGCTCGCCGGGTCCCACTCCACTCTGTTCTCCCCCAACCTGACAATCTCCAACCCGACACTCCCCAATTGCAAACTCACCATCGTATCTTCGTATTTCGCCAGCAAGGTCCTTCTGCATGCTCGCCGGGTCCCACTCCACTCTGTTCTCCCCCAACCTGACAATCTCCAACCCGACACTCCCCAATTGCAAACTCACCATCGTATCTTCGTATTTCGCCAGCAAGGTCCTTCTGCATGCTCGCCGGGTCCCACTCCACTCTGTTCTCCCCCAACCTGACAATCTCCAACCCGACACTCCCCAATTGCAAACTCACCATCGTATCTTCGTATTTCGCCAGCAAGGTCCTTCTGCATGCTCGCCGGGTCCCACTCCACTACCCCCCTCTCTCCTCACTCCACTCACCATCATGTCTTCGTATTTCGCCAGCAAGTCTTTCTGCATGCTCGCTGGGTCCCACTCCACGCCATTCTCCTCTGCCACTCATTGCAATGCACAAGGTGTGTCTCAGGGGAATGTGCTACTAAGCCCAACATCACACTCACCATCATGTCTTCGTACTTCGCCAGTAAGCCTTTCTGCATGCTCGCCGGGTCCCACTCCACGCCATTCTCCTCCACCAGTCACCGCCGCACTGACACAAGTTGTGACTCAAGAGAATGTGTTAGTAAGCGCACACCCCACCCCGCTCACCATCATGTCTTCGTATTTCGCCAGTAAATCTTTCTGCATGCTCGCTGGATCCCACTCCACGCCGTTCTCCTCTGCCAATTTCTGCAGCGCCTCTAGCTTCGATTCGGGGGAGGGGGCGCGGACTGAGAGTTTAGCCACGATCTGCAATAAGTAACACCGGAAACAAGGGGAAGAGGGGAAAGACGGGATATACTAATGAGTTGGCAACTCCACGCCATTCTCCTCTGCTAGCTTCTGCAGCGCCTCTAGCTTCAATTTGTTCGATCACTCCTCACCAAAAAAACTCACGAGTCGGTGCCCCACTCCACCCCATTCGACCGCACTCCAGTCCACTCCACCCTGCCCCACTCCACCGCACACCACACCAACACTCACAATTTGGTTCACTCGGGCCGCAGCTCCTCGGCTGCCATCACGAACTCCCACCCAAACTTCAGAGGCAAGTCAAACATCAGTTCCGTCACTGCCTCCCATCACTCAAAGCTCCGTCCACTCCACCCCACTCCACCCCACCCCACCCGATTCCACCCCACTTCACCCCACCCCACCGCACTCCACATCCCATCACTCACGATTCGGTTCACTCCGCATTCGGGCCGCAGCTCCTCTGCTGCCATCACGAATTCCCGCCCAAACTTTTGCTGGAAGAGTTTCTTCGCCTCGGCGAGCTCGGGCAGGTCGGAGCAGCGCGGGGCAGCAAAAATAATGCTCGACACGGCCTCCCGCAGGTCCACCGGGCAGGTCCTGAAACAAACCAGTCAACAGTGGTAAAGACAAGGCAACACGATTAGCAACATTTAGAGACGCCTTAAAAACTTGTAACAAGAACATCACTCGATCCCCACGATCATCATGTCATGGGAAGCCGGAAGGGGTGTCAGCCTGCGGCACTCACTTCTGCGACTCTATAATGAGGATGCGGGCGACCAGCAGCTCGCAAAAGAGCTCCAACACGTCGTAGGCCGCTATAGTGTTCTCCTCCCTTATAAGCTCCTCCACCTTAAAAACAGGGAAAATTCAACCGGATGAAGGGAGGATAAGACACACACACACACGCACGCACACACACACACCAGAAGGCGGTGTAGAGAAGATATATCTTAGCCAATCAGCTCTCAACACGATGCGGATCCGCTTGTCCCTCTTGATACTGTCACAATGGGCATGCAGGAATTTCAGCTCATTGCTGATTTAGGATTACACCTCCTGTTCGCCTTTGGAGCATCATAGCCATCGCTCCATGTTTGCATTTTCAGCGCCATCGTAATGCAGGAATTAATGGAAAAAAAATCTAAACCAATTTTCATACCCTAATCCGAGCTCGTTCTGCTGTTTGTTGCGTATCAGGGTGTGATAGATATACATACGCATGCAAGCATGGTTTATGTATAACGTAGTAACGCGTAACACGTACCCTAATACGAGCTCGAGCCTCCTGGCCGCCCTTGAGCATCATCGCCACCTCACGCCGTTTGTACTTGAGCTCGTTCTGCCGCTTGTTGCGCATCACCGTGATTCGCGACGCCGACAGCTGAAGCTGAGTCTTCCTGTAACGAGGACAGAGTGTATCATAGAAATTCAACGACATTTACCGTTGAGAAGGATATCAATGCCTTGACGCGGAACAGGAGCCGAGGAGAGCAGAGGTTTGGACAAAGACAAGGACATCGGGAGGTGAGTTCTAAAATAAAAAATGTGCGAGCCTCATCACTCACAGCTTCGAGCCCTTGAATCCTCCTCCAAACATCGTGACCGCTCTGCAACTAACACAACTGTATTCAAGGCGAAAGAAATCAACCGCGGGATCAAACGTCGATAAATTCCTTCGCAAAAATGTTCGCCGACGCAGATTGGCAGGAAAGGCGTAAAGAGACCTCACGCGGAATCTAATCGCGCAGACTCGTCGCTTTGGGAAAATTGAAAACCCGAAGGACGCTAAGAATACGAACAGATTAATCAGCCAAGCGCCGATCACGGGAAGCCAGAGCACCAGCCTGCATTCAGATGGAGAAAACTGAGCTATGGCGCAAAATGATGCTGCTGGTGCTGCAGGTGCTGCTGAGCATTTTGGGGCTAGCTGCTGCTATCAAGTCCCACATCGGCTCGTTGAGGCGTGTTCCAGGAGCGAGTCACCGGTCGCAGTTAGAGAGGGTTACCAACAAGTAAAAGAAAGTTTCATCTCCTTTGTTTAATTTTGCCTGCTCTAAACATGGAACAATCAGCCAAATCGCTTGAGTCCTGCTGTGTGTCTTCTGTGTATCTTCTGTCTTCAGAGAGACGGGGAAAGAACCGGAAAGGAATGCATCCTTCGAGTTTCTTTAATCCTAATGCTCTTCTTCGGTTAGTGAGGTGTTGCATGATATCGTGAGGGACTGCTGTCGTTACCATCTTGACACATCATTTCGCAATGCTACTCGCGCAACGTGTGTCGCACGCAGCACTGACCCCAGGTGTGCTTCGCCGAAGGTGGTCTTGGTAACATGTTCTGTTACGATATTTTTCTATCATAATGGCGCTGTTCTTTTGGCCAAAAATGGCCTTCCTGGATTCTTCCATCCGCACCAGCGGTGCGTCGGTTCAGGTTGGGCATTGTCCGAAGCTGGGCGCATCAAGAAAACAGAGGAAACCTGCAGAACAGCACTTTTGTGACACTGTACCAAAACCGCCCGTATGTTCCACGCCATTTCCTCTCCAGGCAAATGGTCCGCACCACTGGTGCGACCTCTCGAGGTGAAATCACCTCCGCACCACTGGTGCGGGGCAGAAACCAGCAGCCCATTTTTTTGCTCGTGGTAGGCTTGAACGCCCAACACTTGACCGTGTTCAAATTTCAAGAAAATCTTCTCACGTTCTTGCTGCTCGATACTCTTTCATGTGTGATTGATCAAGAAATCGGTATTGTTGCCTTTACCAAGATGAGTTACCCTCGGTTCTCATTTCGCCAGACCGTGTTCAAAAGGGCAGACCCGAGTTGGCTGAGCTGTTCAAACGAGAAGTTTACCTCGGTTAAAACTGAACCTTCATGTGTTGCCAAGTCAACCAAAAAGGCACCTGAAGTTATTGCGAGGTTTACCAATCCACCAACGGTGCAGCGACGAGAACTCCAGCAGAACAGCGCCAATATACAGAGTAGTATCTAGGCTCCACTCACATGTTCGCCAACAGACTTGGCCACGCACATGCCATCGAGGAGGCGGAATGGGCAGCTAAGGGCGTGGAACATTTCGATTCTGCCTGGTGCGTACCACGACACCGTTCGGAACTTGGTGTGGTGACAGTTTTCGTTGGTTCTCGCAATAGACCTCGCCAGGGTTCCTGCGACGTCGTCATCGTGCGGAACCCACCTGGAACAATGGAGACAGGGTTTCTCGTACTGACAGTACGAACGGTCGGAATTGCTCCGTTCGGAACACAAGGGTACAGTGTCTGCGCGACTGACAGCATGCTATATCGCACAGTTTCTGCCAATTGCCTGGTCGCATGCTAGTGTTGCTATTGGTGGTTGTCTGTAGGCGATTTTGAGCATCTACCAGGTGCGACGGTACGAGAATGCACAGTGACGTTTGAAAATACAAAATAAAAAACTTCGTCAAATGTTCCAACTTCCCAACCGGACGAGGCTGGGTCCGAACCACCGTCTGGTTTGGCCCAAACCGGTTGACAGTGCGGAACTGAGGGGCCTCGTACGGAACTCTCGCAAAAAAAATGAAATGTTACACGCCCTAACACTGCACCACACGCGCACCTCCTCGTTTCCGCGGGCTGTATTTCCGCCAGACCTGCGGCTGCGAGCCGATCATCCGCCGTGTATGGCATTCCTTCAGCGTTGCCTGCAGTTTTTCCCCGTCTCCCTTTCACCGCCCCCATACCTGTTTTCATAGGGCGCGCTTGAGGCTGGTCGGGGGAGATGAGGGGAAACTCTGTGTACGATGCAGTGTGATTTCAGCGTCATTCAATGCGGTAATTACTATAAATCCCCAGTTGAAGGTCCACCAATGGAACACTCCACCCGCGCGAAAGCCGAAGGCAGTGCAGGTGCGCGGAATTCTGTACTGGACAGAAACGTGGTGTACGGAAAACCGCATTGCGCCGTGTCGACTAGAGGTCGTTCTCAAACATGACCCCCTTTCCAAATTCGAGTCGGTCCAGTCCTTCGGCGACACTGGCTGTAAATAGACCGCGTCGAAACGTAGCAGACCATGCGATATCGTATTGATGCTGACCAGGCATTCTCGTCGAATATGCCTTGAGTCTGCAAGCTACACATATCCTCCCGACAGAGCTAGTTTCTTCGAGGTTTTCCTGTGACCCCGTCCCTCCGAACTCGACTTCCTACTGACCAGAGCAGCAGGAATGAGGCAGTTTGATTGGCTCTTTTTTTCTAAGAAAAGAGCCAAAGCCTTTCGCAGTTACATATACTTCGTTGCGACTGCAGATTACAATGGCGGCGACGGCTAGGGAAGGATGCGATGCGAGTTAAGGATACGAGGTAGCAAGGACATTGACGACGCACTCGGTCAGTCTCTCCGAATCACACGTGGTGTTCTATCCGTCCTCCTGACCGCCATAGTTCCATCACGTTGATTCGCCGCTTCTCGACGTCAAAAAGAGAAAGCCAACAAGCACTTCTCAGGAAGACTTGTTGAGCGCCGCGTTGAAGCAACGATGTACTTAGCCATTCGCGAATCAGACCGATAGTAGCCTATTTGAGGACAGATAGAGCGACGCGGGCTCGCGCAGGCCTGCGGTAGAACGCCGAACCTCGACGTCGAGCGCACGACGCACGACGCACTTCGCACGTTGCATGACGCACGTCGCACGACGCACGACGAACGACGAGCGACGCACCACGCACGACGCACGACGAACGACGAACGACGAGCGACGCACGACGCATGACGCACGACGGACGACGAACGACGAACGACGACACATCTCGATGCTGCTAGGAAGTTCCCCGCCGACCGCAGCAATGCTAGCGAAGCTCCGACAAGGCCCGCATTCGCATGCGACTGTTTGTATCGGAATGCTGAATCAGTCTATAACGGAGCGGATTTGTATTAGAGTGCGTGCAGTAGCGGTCCGAAGGCCGTGACACGATTCGAAACTACGTTTGAATGACGGGGACAGCTGCGAGTGGCGGCGAGAGTTTCGAGTTGACTCAGAAGTCCGTCATTGGATTCAAATAGTGGTAATACGTGAAGGCCGTGACACGATTTGAGACGACAATTCGAGACGATTCGAGACGATTCGAGACGATTCGGGAGGACTCGAGACGACGTTTGAATGACACGTCTCCGATGTCGACGAAAGAGCGATTCGCGTCGGAGCGATTCGCCGCTACAGGTGACCGTTGAGTCCAATACAATGACGCGTCTCGAGCCGCGGCGCCATCGCCGGCGAGATTACTGCATGTTGCGCTCCGCATCCCCGCGTGTGAGCGGGCCGCCGCAGCTCGCGGCGCGCGCGGCGGCGCTCCGGCGGCTCGTTGTGGCGATCTGCCTCGTCGTTGCGTGCACACGTGGCGTTGTCGGAGAGGGTAGGTGTTGAGGGAGGGGTTGAAGGGCAGCGAGAACGGGGAAGGGGGAGGAGAGGGTAGGTGTTGAGGGAAGGGGGGGGAAGGGGCTAAGAGAAGGCGGAAGGAGGAGAGGGTAGGTGCTGAAGGTGGGGAGGGAGGGTGAAAGGACGGGGAAGGGGGACGAGAGGTCAGGTGTTGAGCGTGGGAGGGAAGGGCTAAGAGAACGGGGAAAGGGGAGGAGAGGCAGAATGCTCCCAACCGTTCCTCCCATCTTCCCTTTCCGCTCCCCCACTCAAACTTATCAGTGCCGCTTTTGAGAATTCTAAAAAGCAGGTTGCTCCCAATTGTTCCTCCCATTTTCCCTTTCCACTCCCCCATTCAAACTTCCGAGTCTTCCAGTGCCGGTGCTGCTGTGCCGTCACCAGCGCTTCTCCAGTGCCGCCCATTTCCGCCTCCTTCCCACCCCTTTCCCCCCCCTTTTCCCCCTTCCCCCATTCAAACTTCCAAGTCTTCCAGTGCCGGTGCTGCTGTGTCGTCGACAGCTCCTCTTCCAACTGTGCCTCCCTAATCCGCCTTCTTCTCCCCCCCCCCCCCCCCCCCCTAACCCCTTCCTGCTTTCCCCCCACTCACTCAGACCTCCAGTGCCGGTGCTGCTGTGCCGTCACCAGCGCCTCTCCTCTGCCACCCCATCATCCCCCTTTCTCGCTCCCCTCCTTATCTCCCCCATTTTCCCCGTTTCCCCACTCCCCCCACCCATTCAGACCTCCAGTGCCCTCCAGTGCCCTCCAGTGCCCTCCAGTGCCCTCCAGTGCCCTCCAGTGCCCTCCAGTGCCGGTGCTGCTGTGCCGTCACCAGCGCCTCTCCAACAGCTGCTCATTCCCAATCATCCCCCTCTCTCCCTCCCTTCCTTATCTCCCCCATTTTCCCCGTCTCCCACCCCCTCAGACCTCCAGTCCCGGTGCTGCTGTGTCGTCACCAGCGCCTCTTCCCACTGTGCCTCCCATTTCCGCCTTCTCTCCCCCCCTCCCCCCTCTCCCCCTCCCCCCACCCACCCAGACCTCCAGTGCCGGTGCTGCTGCGTTGTCACCAACGTCAATCCGGTGCCGCCCCAGCTGCCCCCAAAAGAGTGCGCCCACTCTCTCCTGCTGCACTCCTGCACCGCATTCGACCCATCCGATTTCAGCCAGCAACCCACTGAACCACCCCAGCCGCTCGCGTCCCAGCTAATTCCATCAGCATGCCCACATTCCCTCCTGCTGCACTCGTGCAGTGCAGTTCACCCATCCGATCTCAGCCCACCACCCACAAGTGCAACCACTGACCCACCCCAGCTGCACTCACCCCAGTGCCCCAGTTCTCTCCTGCTGCACTCCTGCACTGCAGCCGACTTACCGAGTTTCACCCCACCATCCACTGACCCGCTCCAGCTGCTCCTATCTCAGTGCGCCCACTCCCTCCTGCTGCACTCCTGCCCTTCAGCTGACTTGCCGAATTCCAGCCTTAGAGAGCAGGAAGGGGAGTGGAATGTAAGCCAGCGGCTTTTGGGGCTATTGTGTGGGGAATTTAGCGGGTCTGAAACGACAAGCAGAGATAAGGCGATTGAAGCGAAGATGGAAGAGCAAGCAGGGTTTGAGAGCGAGGGGGCTGGTTTGAGCAAGGAAGAGGGTGAGAGAGCGGGAGAGACACAGCAGAAGGAGGGGCAGGAGCAGCAGCAGCAACCGCGGCAGGAGCAGCAGCAGCAGGAAGAGAGGAGGGAACCTATTTGGGAAGCAAAAGAGAAAGGGGAGAAAGGGGAAAGTGTGGGAGCAGGAAGAATGCTGTTTTTGTGTCTCAGTAGCAGCAAGGCGACTTCCGATTCGGCTCACAAGTCACCTCAGAAAGGGGACGCAGCAGGCAGGGGATGGGTGCTGCTACTGTGCGTCAGTTGCAGCAAGGAGAGTGAGGGCATGAGAACGGAGGGAGAGAGGAAGGAGAGTGAGGGGACGAGAATGGAAGGAGAGAGCAAGGAGAGAGACAGGATGGGAGCAGAAGGAGAGAGCAAAGAGCGAGAGGGGACGAGAAGTGGAGGGGGGGTGGAGGGAAGAACGCCAGAGGAAGGGGGTGGGAAGGCAGGTGATAGGAAAAAAGGGAGACGTGTGAATAGGGAAGGGGAGAGGAAGGGGAGGGGGAGAGAAGGCGGGTGGAATGGAGGGGAGATGGGAGGAGCTGGGGCATGGGGTGGTGTGGTGGGTATTGAGGTGCAGCAAAAGACCGGAGGAGCTGTTGCAAGGGCGGTTCGGGGTCGACCACTGTGGCTCATCAACCGAACCACCCTGGTACGTGCCTTGAGAAACCTACTACCTAATCTCTTTCGTGAACTCACAGCACACCTGGGCTGGGTGTGTGCGTGCAAAGGGCAGGAGGAGCTGTTGCAAGGGCGGTTCGGGGTCGACCACTATGGCTCATCAACTGAACCACTCTCGTACGTGTCTTGAGAAACTTATGAGGATTTTCAACCGTTTTGAATATTCTGAAATCACAACTGTTGTTGATTGGTCAAAACAGTTTGCCCACCGCGGCGGGCGGCTCATCAACCGAATTGCACCACTCTTGTGTAGGTGTTTTTTTTTTTTTTTTTTTTTTTTTTTTTTCCCTCACTCTTGTCTCGCATCGATCCGATTCTGTCTTATCATTCGATTCGCAAGTAGATTCTCAACAAGCTAATCTCATATGAGGTCATTCAAATCGTTTTGTCCCTCTCTGCCCTCCTCCCCCCCCCCCTCATTGCCAGACATGGAGGAGAGCTGTGTCGAAAAGGCGGGTGGCTCTGCACGTAAGGCTGAGTGGGCAGGCACGCAGTGCCACGTCAGCTGGCGCCACGTCAGCAGGCCAGGCACCAGCTCAACCTCCTGCTGCCGAACCTCCTGCTGCACCTCCTCCCGAACCTCCTGCCGCACCTCCTCCCGAACCACCTGCAGCTGCACCTCCTGCCGAACCTCCTGCAGCGGCCTCTCCTCCTTCCGAACCTCCTGCCGCTGCCCCCTCTCCCCTCCCCACTGCCCCATCCCCCGATATTGCTACTCCCCCCTCACTCCCCCCAGCCTCTCCCCCTGCACTTCCCCCCGCCTCTCCCCCTGCACTCCCCCCTGCCTCTCCCCCTGCGCTTTCCCCCGCCTCTCCCCCTGTCCTCCCCCCAGCCTCCCCCCCTGCCCTCCCCTTCGTCCCCCCTCCTTCTCCCCCTCCCCCAGACCTAGGCACCCTCACTCCTACTGCTGATTCCCCTCCCCCCTCCTCCCCCTCCTCTCCTATATCCTCTCAATCCCCCCCTCCCCCCTCCTCTCGCACCCCTCCTATCTCTCTCATTCCTAGTACCTCCACCTCCTATCCTCCTCCTCCCCCTCCCCAAACTATTTCCAACCCTACTCTTCCCCCTACCGCTGATCCCCCCTCACTTCTTTCCCCCTCCCCCGCTGCTTCCCCTGCCCTCCCCCCCGAGCTTTCCCCCTCTCTTCCCCCTGTAGGTTCCCCTTTCCCCTCTCTCCCCTCCGCCCCCGCCCCCGCCCCTTCCCCTGATTTCCCCACCCCCATCTCCCCTGCCCCTTCCCCTGCCCTTGCCCCAGCGCCCTCTCCAACCGCCCTTCCCCCTGAGCTTCCCCCAGCTGCTTCCCCCCTTCCCCCGGATTCCCCCCAACCTCCCCCTCACCCTCACAGACCCCCTAAAAGACACCCCCCACGCGCCCCCAATCCCCCTCCCCCTTCCGAGCCTCCTGCCGAGCCTCCTGCCGTCCCTCCTGCCGTCCCTCCTGCCGAACCTCCTGCCGAACCTCCTGCCGACCCTCCTGCCGAACCTCCAAGCCTTTCCCCTGCTCCCAGCCCTTCCCCATCCGCCCCTGCTTTCTTCCCCCGTTCCCCTTCCCCCGCACCTCTCTCCCCCCAGCCCCATCGTTTCCCCCCAACTGCCCCCACTCTCTCCTCCCCTTCCTCATCCCCTCCTCCTCCCCTTCATCCTCCTCCTTCCCCACCTCCTTCCTCCTCTCACCCTCCATCCTCACTCTACCCCCCTCCACACACTCTCCCCCATACCCCTCCTTCACTCCCCCCTCCCCCGCCCCTTTCTCTCCCCCATCCCCCTCCCCATCTCCCTCCCCCTCCCTCTCCCCCTCCCCCTCCCCTCCATCATCCTATGAAACGCCATCCCCCTCTCTATGCCGGCACACCCCGCAGCTTCGCACCTGTCACCCTCACACCTCCCCCCTCTCCCCCTCCTCCTCCCCCTCCTCCTTCCCCTCCTCCTCCCTCTCCTACTAGCCTCCAATCCACCCCTCCTCCTAGCTTTTTCCCGTCCCTCCCTCCTGGTGCTCTCACCCCCTCCCCGCCTCCTCCGCTTCTTTCTCCTCCTCCGCTTCTTTCTCCTTCTCCGCTTCTTTCTCCTCCTCTTCCTGCATTCACCATCGGCCCATCAAGCCCTGCTGCTGTCCTGCCGTCACCACCACCGCCACCACCACCGCCGCTCATCCTTCCGCCCCCACCTCCCGACAGCAGAAGTAAGTTCTCCTTTTTTCTCCCTCGTCCCTCCTCTATTTACTCCTCTCAACCCCTCCCCACCTCTTCCTCTGCTTTCTCCTCCGCCATTCACCATCGGCCCTTCAAGCCCTGCTGCTGCTGCTGTCCTGCCGTTACCACCACTGCTTCCTCCACTGCTTCTCTCATTGCTTTCTCCTCCGCCATTCACCATCGGCCCATCAAGCCCTGCCGTTGTCCTGCCGGCACCCCTGACAGCCGAAGTAAGTACTCTCCCTTTCCACCTCGCCCTCTCGTTCCTTCCCTCTTTTCTCTCATTGCTTTCTCCTCCGCCATTCACCATCGGCCCATCAAGCCCTGCTGCTGTCCTGCCGTCACCGCCGCCGCCACCGCCGCTCATCCTTCCACCCCCACCTCCCGACAGCAGAAGTAAGTTCACTCTCTTTCCTCCCCGCTCTTCTCTAGTTTTCCCCCTCTCCTCCCCCCCTCTCCCCACCACCAGCACCGCCGCTCATCCTTCCGCCCCCACCTCCTGACAGCCGAAGGGAGTTCTTTCCCTTTCCACCTCTCCCTCTCGTTCCCCCCTCCCTTCTCTCATTGCTTCCCCTCTCTGCTCTTTATTCCCACCTCTCTCCATCTCTCTCCACCACTCCCTCTCGTTCCCCCCTCTCTCCCTTCGCTGATTGCTTCTCTCCCACCATTCTCCCTAGAACCACCCACCTGTCTCCTCGTTTCCCCCACCCCCTCCCTGTTACCCCCACCGTCCTCTTCCCTTTCCCCTCTCCCCTGCGCCTGCGCCCTCCAAATGGTGCTCATAGCTCGCCTCCACTCCTCCTTTCACTCCTTACACAACGTCCCCGTGTTTGCGTGCAAGCTCGCCTCTCCCCTCCTCCTGCAGCCCTCTCAGGTGGAGGTCTGGGCGGGCTGTCACTTCTTACACAGTGTCCCCGTGTTGTGTTCTTTGAGGCGCCTCAAAATACACCTCAATGCTTTTGAGGCGCCTCAAAATACAAGCTCGCCTCTCCCCTCCTCCTCCTGCAGCCCTCTCAGGTGGAGGTGTGGGTGGGCTGTCACTTCTTACACAATCTATTTTTTGAGAATTCTCAAAAAACAGACTCAGGTGGAGGTGTGGGCTGTCACTTCTTATCCAACGTCCCCGTGTTCTTTCCTGACAATTTATCCTCTTCTTTCTCCCACCCTCTCCTCCCCCTACTTTCCCCCAGACTGCCCCCCCTGCCCATCCCCGACCGTCCTCCTCCCAGCCGCATCCCCCTCCCTCCCCTGCGCCTGCGCCCTCCCAATGGTGCTCATAGCTCGCCTGCACTCCTCCTTCTACTCCTTTCTGCACAATGTCCCCTCGTTCGCGCGCGAGCTTGCCTCTCCCCTCCTCAGAGGCGAGCTCGCCTCTCCCCTCCTCAGAGGCGAGCTCGCCTCTCCCTCCTCAGAGGCGAGCTCGCCTCTCCCTCCTCAGAGGCGAGCTCGCCTCTCCCTCCTCAGAGGCGAGCTCGCCTCTCCCCTCCTCAGAGACGAGCTCGCCTCTCCCCTCCTCAGAGGCGAGCTCGCCTCTCCTGGCAATCATCACATCTCCTCTTTTCTGTTCCTCCCTCTCCCTTCCCTTCCCCACCCCCTGCTTCCCCCCAGACTTCCCCCCCTGCCCGACCCCCACCGTCCTCCTCCCCGCCCCCACCCCCTCCTCCTCCTCTGCCCTCCCCTGCTCCTGCGCCCTCCCAATGGTTTTGATTGCTCGCCTCCACTCCCCCTTCGACTCCTTTCTGCACAACGTCCCCGTGTTCGCGCGAGAGCTCGCCTCTCTGGCAATCATCACATCTCTTTTCTGTTCCTTCCTCTCCCCTCCTAATGGTTCTTATTGGGAGAACCCTTGTTCACAACGTCCCAGTGTTTCCCTCTGTCACACCTTTCACATATCCCTTCCCCTGCTCCCTCTCCCTTGTCTCCCACCCTCCCTTTCCCCTGTCTCTCCCACAGACTGCGCCCCCTGCCCATCCCCCACCGTCCTCCTCCCCTTCCTCCCTCCCCTGCTCCTGCGCCCTCCCAATGGTGCTCATAGCTCGCCTCCACTCCCCCTTCGACTCCTTCCTGCACAACGTCCCTCTGTTCGCGCAAGAGCTCGCCTCTCTGGCAATCATTGACGGTTCTTCTTTCCCGTTCCTGCCTCCCTCTCCCTGCCCCTACCCCACCCCGTGTTCCCCCCCCAGACTGCCCCCCATGCCCGACCCCCACCGTCCTCCTCCCTGCCACCTCTTTAACCTCCCGCTTTTGCTCCTGCGCCCTCCCAATGGTACTCATAGCTCGCCTGCACTCCCCCTTCGACTAATTCCTTCACAACGTGCCCGTGTTCGCCCAAGAGCTGGGTGCAATCAGCCCTCTCAGGTGGAGGCCTGGGCTGTCACTCCTTACACAACGTCCCCGTGTTTGCGCGCAAGCTCGCCTCTCCCCTCCCCTCCTCCTGCAGCCCTCTCAGGTGGAGGTCTGGGCGGGCTGTCACTTCTTGCACAACGTCCCCGTGTTCTTTCCCCTGCTCAAGTGACGCTTTCCCCTGCTCCTCTTTCTCCCTACCCCTCCCCCCGCTTCCCCTGCTTCCCTGCAGATTGCCCCCCCTGCCCATCCCCGACCGTCCTCCTCCCAGCCGCCTCCCCCACCCTCGCCTGCACCTGCGCCCTCCCAATGGTGCTCATAGCTCGCCTGCACTCCCCCTTCGACTCCTTCCTCCACAACGTCCCTGTGTTCGCCCAGGAGGTCGCCTCTCCCCTCCTCCTACAGCCCTCTCAAGTGGAGGTCTGGGCTGTCACTTACGATCCTGATTCCATGTATTCTCTGTTCTGTCCTCCCTCTCCCCCCAACCCTTCCCTTGTTTCCCCCCAGACTGCCCTCCCTGCCCATCCCCCACCGTCCTCCTCCCCGCCCCCACCTCCTCCCCCCTCTCCACCCTCCCCTGCACCTGCGCCCTCCCAATGGTGCTCATAGCTCGCCTGCACTCCTCCTTCGACTCCTTCCTACACAACGTGCCCGTGTTCGCCCAGGAGGTCGCCTCTCCCCTCCTCCTACAGCCCTCTCAAGTGGAGGTCTGGGCTGTCACTTACGATCCTGATTCCATGTATTCTCTGTTCTGTCCTCCCTCTCCCCCCAACCCTTCCCTTGTTTCCCCCCAGACTGCCCTCCCTGCCCATCCCCCACCGTCCTCCTCCCCGCCCCCACCTCCTCCCCCCTCTCCACCCTCCCCTGCACCTGCGCCCTCCCAATGGTGCTCATAGCTCGCCTGCACTCCTCCTTCGACTCCTTCCTACACAACGTGCCCGTGTTCGCCCAGGAGGTCGCCTTTCCCCTCCTCCTGCAGCCCTCTCAGGTGGAGGTCTGGGCTGTCACTTATGATCCTGATCCCACCGCGCTTGTGGTTACCGCGTATTTTCTGCCAGTGGAAGGGGAAGGGGCAACAGCAGCAGCAGCAGCAGCGGAGGTTGGGGGTTCTGTGAGGCGCCTCAAAAGCGAAGGGGAAGGGGCAGCAGCAGCATCGGAAGAGGCAGCAGAAGCAGCAGCAGCAGCAGCAGCAGAGGCTGGGCCTCTTGTGAGGCGCCTCAAAAGCGATCCAGCGGGCCTCGTTGGTACCATGTATTATTCGCCAGAAGAAAAGAGAGGAGCAGAGACGGAAGAGAAGAGGCAGTCACGTGTGTTGGCGAGAGCAGAGAATCAAAACTCTCAGGGGAAGCCGGTGCAGCTGAATCGGACTGAGGTGGCAAGAATCCGACAGGTGTTGCTTGGGGGACAAGTGCAGCCGGACCCGAGTTTGTTTGGGGAATTCACCATCCTTATGATTCTAGACCCGGGTAAGTTGGTTCGGCTTGGGCCGTGCTGGTTTTGTCAGTTCTGGTTACAGTTATTGAGGCATGAGAGGGCTTTTGTCTGCACAGAGTTGAATGTTTAAGGTTGAGTGCTTGGTTGAGTTGAATGGTCAAGCCTGGGCTCCCTTTTTATTTTCCATTCACAAAATAAATTTTGAGTGGAGAAGTGGCACTTAATCCCATTATTCTCCATTCCTGTTCTGTTTTCTAAATCCTGTTTTCACTTAATGTCAGGTCAACCAATCCCCAGCCCTCCTCCTCCTCCATCCCCCGATCCCACTCTCTCCCCCACCATTACCATCAGCAATAACACATCGCCTGATTGTTTCTATCCTTCTTTTGTTTTCCCCCTTTTTTTGTTTTCTGCTTCCCATCAGGTCAACCGCTCCCCAGCCCTCCTCCTCCTCCTTTTCCTGACCAACCCCTCTCTCCCACCATCACCGCTAATAGCACAAACGCGAGTGACGCATCCTCCCCTTCCTCCTCCTCCTCTTCCTCCCCTCCCTCCTCCTCCTCTCTATCCTCTCTCCTAATCCTCCTAATCATCGGAATCCCCGTGGGGGTATTTACCCTGGTTACCCTGGTTGCAATAATGTGGAACAGGCTAGTTACCCGGAAGGCTCAGAGAAACGCGTTTAAGGGAGTGAGAACAGTCGGACCGTTTTGGGGGGGGGGGAGTGAGGGAGAGGAGGAGCGGGATGGCGCATGGCTTGCTGAAGCAAGCTCAGCTGCTGCTGCTGCAGCAGCAGCAGCAGCAGGGGTGCATTCACCTCGTAAACGAACGAGCTTCTACTCCCCTCCACGTGATTACTCCTCTCCTCCCTCCTCCCCTCCGCATAGGCCTACCCTCTCCGATAGAAGAGGAAGGGATTTCGTGGGAGGGGAAGAAGGTTCAAGGGTAGGAGTGGGAGGGGATGCAGGAACCCAGATTAGTAGGGGAGTGGGTGAGGAGGTAGGTGGGAGGAGGGGCAAGAAGGCAAAGAAAAGGCACTTAAAGCCCGAAAGTTCTGGTATCCCTTTTGCAACATCCTTAAAGCTCGGAAACTTTTGTGAAGGGTCGTACTCGTTCTCAGTCGCGCAGGTCCGGGCAGCCACGGAAAATTTCAGCTCGGGCAGGCTTATCGGGCAGGGAGGGTTTAGTCGGGTGTACAAGGGGGTTTTGGAAAACGGGACGCCGGTTGCTGTGAAGCTGCTTCTCTCCTCCCGAACCTCGTTCCAAGCCTCGGCTGTGGCTGGGTCGCCGAACCTAAATGAGCAAGCAGCAGGAGCAGCTATGGTGATGGCAGCGGTAGCGGAAGCAGCAGCCTCGGCAGCAAGAGCCTCACCAAAAGTAGCAGCATTAGGAGCAGGTCCGGCAACAGGTTTGGGAGCGCAAGGCTTGGGAGAAGGTTGGGGAGCAGGTTCGGAAACAGGCTCGGAACACATCCCCCCTGTAAGGGAACTCGATTTTGATAAAGAGTTCTCCGCAGAAGCCCGCGTTCTAAGCTGCTTAAATCACAGAAACATCGTGAAGCTTCTAGGAATCTGCCGCGAGGGGAACTTTCGGTGCCTGGTTTTCGAGTTGGTGGAAAAGGGGACTTTGCACTCTCTGCTGCATGGGAGAAGAGGAGGAAGAGGGGAGGGGGGAGAAAGAAGGGATGGGGGAGAGATAGAGGAGGAAGGGGGAGAAGGAAGAGGAAGAGGAGGAGGCGGTCTACATGCTCCTCTGAACCCTCCTCTCTCTCCACCTCCCCTCACTCCCCCCCCTCTCTCCCCATTAGACTGGCCCCAGAGGCTCAAAATAGCAGTGGGAATAGCCCAGGGCATACGTTACTTGCATGAGGATGCATCTCCTTCAATCATTCACCGAGACTTGAAGTCTGCAAACGTGCTGATCGATAGAGAGTTTGCTCCCAAGATTGCTGATTTCGGGCTGGCTAGGACTGTAGTTGTAGGGGACTCTCTGAGGGGAAAGAGGAAAATGGGGGAGGAGGGAGATGGTGCGAGAAGGGGTGGGAGGGCAGGGGAGGAGGGAAGTGGGACCAGGATGGGGAAGGAGGAGGACAGAGAAAGGGAGGGGGAAGAGGAGGAGATATGGGATCTGCAAGAGCAAGGGGAGGAGAATGGGGAGGGTGAGAGAGGATGGTTGATGGGAAGGAAAGGAGGAGGCATGGTCGACCAGAGTAAAATGGTACCAGATCAGATGGTATCAGCACAAATGGTATCAGGACATCTGGTGGGCACGTTCGGCTATATGGCTCCAGAATACACACTCACAGGGAGTTTTAGTCTAAAGAGTGACGTGTATAGCTTCGGAGTTATTCTCCTAGAACTCCTCACCGGACGTAAACCCGTGGTCCGGACCGAGCCTGGAGGTGTGGAGAGCCTCGTGCAATGGGCCAGGCCGCTGCTCGCCGAGCCTAGACTGCAGGTTCGGCAGCTCGCGGATCCGTCGCTGGAGGGGAGGTTCGACGAGGGGAGTCTGGTTCGGTTGGCTGCTGTGGCTGGGATGTGTGTTGCTGCTGAGGCTGGGAAAAGACCGGCTATGAGTCAAGTAGTGGAGGTGAGTTCTTTCTACCTATCGTCCAACCAAACAACTTGGTGTTTGTGTGTGTGACCAGTGCATCTGTTGTGTGCAAGTGTGGCTGCTTTGGCTGGGATGTGTGTTACTGTTGATGCTGGTAAAAGGCCGGCCATGAGTCAAGTGGTGAAGGTGAGTGGTAGTAGAGTAGAGAGAGTCAGAGAATGTGCTGCGTACGGCAATTGAGTGCTCTCATATCTGCTGATGCTGGTAAAAGGCCGGCCATGAGTCAAGTGGTGAAGGTGAGTGGTAGTAGAGTAGAGAGAGTCAGAGAATGTGCCGCGTACGGCAATTGAGTGCTCTCATATCTGCTGATGCTGGTAAAAGGCCGGCCATGAGTCAAGTGGTGAAGGTGAGTAATAGTAGAGTAGAGAGAGTCAGAGAATGTGCTGCGTACGGCAATTGAGTGCTCTCATATCTGCTGATGCTGGTAGAAGGCCGGCCATGAGTCAAGTGGTGAAGGTGAGTTGAATGAAGGGATAGCTTCGAGACACTTTAAAAGGATGGCTGCGGTGGCTGGGATGTGTGTTACTGTTGATGCTGGTAGAAGGCCGGCCATGAGTCTAGTGGTGGAGGTGAGTGGTAGTAGAGTAGAGAGTCAGTGAATGTGTTGCGTACGGCAATTGAGTGCTCTCATATCTGCTGATGCTGGTAGAAGGCCGGCCATGAGTCTAGTGGTGGAGGTGAGTGGTAGTAGAGTAGAGAGTCAGTGAATGTGCTGTGTACGGCTATTGAGAGCTCTCAAATCTGCTAAATGCTGGCGGAAGGCCGCCTATGAGCAAAAAAAATCAAGGTGAGTACTACCAACCGACCTAGTTTATATGTGACGATTTTTGTTGACTCAATCTTTTAGTAAAGTAGTCTAGGTGAGTACTACGAACCGACCTATATTATATGTGACGATTTTTTTGTCGACTAAAAAAATTAGTCACGCAGTCAAGGTGAGTAAGTAAGTACTACCAACCGACCTAGTTTATATCTATGTATCCGACATGTGCATCGCGTGCGTACACAACATCCTTGGTCCAAGTGTTTATGTGCGTGTGTACAATCAAAATTTCTCCTTCCTCCAAATGGTGCTTTGTGTTTTTCTCCCTTTGCAGCTGCTGCGGCAAATCCAGTCTGAAGACTCTATGGCAGCAGCAGCATGGTAAGCAACCTGAAAAAGATAGGCAACTAAAAAGGGAAACGAACACATCTTGCCTTTTTCTGTATTTAATATCCCGTTTTTGTCCTTCCTTTGTGAGTCGAATCTGTTTTTTTTTTTTTTTTTTTTTTTTTTTTTTCGCTGTTATGCATTTGCATCTTATGTCTGGGTGTCTCCACTCCACTCCACTGATGTTTTCCATCTGCAAGTCTTTTCACTACTCATATATCTGCTCTCCGTTTTCCTCTGCCTCACTCCCTTCGCGTTGCCCTCTTTTCAGCCTCCCCACCATTCACTTGCTCTGCTCTCCCTAGCATTCTCTTCCTCTTCTCTCCCCACCACTCACTTCTCATTTCCTCTCCCCCCATCTTATCCCCCTTCTTCCGTTCGTTTTCCCGTATTCTCCCTTTCTGCCCCTCCGTGCTCTCCCATTTTCCCCAGCAAATCGGGATCTGCACCAACAGCAACTGCAAGTGCTACCACTGCTACTTCCTCCTCCTCTGCTTCCTCCTCTTCCACCTCCTCCGCTTCCTCCTCCTCCACTTCCTCCCGTGTCCCCTTTCATACTCCTCACCCTCATCAAACCCCCTTCACCTCCACCCCCTCTCGCTCCCTCCTCTCCCCTTCTCACTCCTCCTCCACTCACTCCTCCCCCTCTCGCCCCACCACACACACTCCTCCGCTCTCCTCCCTCTCTTCACTCCCTCACCCTCACACCCATCCCTCCCGCCTCCGCCCCTCCCATCACTCCCCATACTCCTCCCCTCAACCCCCTCACTTCCCCTCTCATTCCCGCTCCCACTCCCTCACCCACTCCTTCTCTCACTCCCCTTCTCACTCCTCCTCCCTCGCCTCCCCACACCACACACCCAGACGCCACCATCCCTCCTTCCCGCCGCCCCACTACCCTTCCCCAGATATACCTTCCCCAGCTGCCGCCTCCCCTGCATCTTACTTATCAGCAGAGGAGGGGTTTGAAAACCCGGGGGGAGGGGGGAGTATAAGGGGGGTTGAGGGGAGTGGGGCAGGGGGGGCTGCTTTCTCCCTGCTGCCGCCCGTGCCAGAGGTGGAACGGGCGGCAATGCCACGATTATTGAGAATGACTGTTCAAGGGCTGGACTACAGGTGAGGAGGAACGAACAGTCTCTTTGTGAGGGGGAGCTCTTTGCTTTGAGGAGTGACGGAGAGGGCTTGCTATGAGGGGGGTGACTTACCCTGCTGCCGCCTGTGCCAGAGACAGAACGAGCTGCAATGCCGAGACTGCTGAGGATGACAGTGCAAGGGCTGGACTACAGGTGAGGAGGCACGGCTTGGTTCTCTGAGTGGGATATGGTGTATGAGGGGAGCTTGCTGGGAGTGGGGCAGGGGGGGTTGCCATTTCCCTGCTGCCGCCTGTGCCAGAGGCAGAACGGGCAGCCATGCTGAGACTGCTGAGGATGACCGTTCAAGGGCTGGACTACAGGTGAGATCTGCAAGCAGGGAGGTGAGGAGGAACCAACTGGTTGTTCGAGTGGGATAAGGCGTATGGGGGAGGCAGCTTGCTGCAAGGGGGGGGAGTGCTTTCTCCCTGCTGCTGCCTGTGCCCGAGGCAGAACGGGCTAATTACAGGTGAGGAGAAATAGGAGAGTGTGTTGTGCCTGTTGCCGCCAGTGCCCGAGGCACCTCGAAAACACTTTTGAGAATTCAAAAGGTTTTGCGCTGTTGTCGCCAGTGCTAGAGGCACTTTGAAAACCAATCCGTCCTTCCCTTCCCCCCCCCCCCCCCCCCCCCCCCCCCCCCCCTTCCCTTGTATTCCAGTGGCGACCTGGATTTGTCTTCTTGCAGGTCTGACCTCGAGTTAACCAAGTCAACCACATTGCCTTCACAGTTCCGACACTCACAGAGCGCTCATGAGATTTGCCCCCCATCCTCCCCCTTCCCTTTGCAGTGGCGACCTGGCATTGTCTTCTTACGAGTCTGACCTCGAGTCAACCAAGTCAACCACATCGCCTTCACAGTTCCAACACTCACAGAGCCAACCAGCCGCCCAGCCACCCGCAGGGATGGCTTCTGAGTCAACCCAAAAGTCAACTGAGTCAACTCAAAAGTCAACCGAGTCAACCACATTGCTACCACAGCCCTGGCTCTCACGGAGCCAACCAGCTGAGCAGCCACTAGCAGGAATCTCCCCTCTCCTCACACTCTCGCACTCCCTCTCCTCCACCACTCAGAGCATCCACCACATAGCACACTCTTCTGCAAACCTACAGCCTCCACCACACTCCAGAACCTCTGCCGAACATCCACCTGCAGGGATCTCCCCTCTCCTCACACTCTCGCACTCCCTCTCCTCCACCACTCAGAGCACCCACCACACAGCACACTCTTCTGCAACCCTACAGTTCCCACCACACTCCAGAGCCTCTGCCGAACCTAGGGATGAGGTCTGGGAGAACCGCACTGGGAGCTACACGCTTGATATTGGCCAGAGTGGAGAGAGTCGCAACCAGCACTACAGCCGGGAGGGTGTAGATTCGCTACATAATCAAGAAAGTGGCCCATATACACCACAAGCACATGGTTCGAGCACAATATATAATGGTAAACGGGACAGGGAAGGACCAAGTCATAGTCCATTCCCTAGGTCTAGATTTGGGGGGAAAGATACTACTGGGAAACAAGGTCGTGATTATTTGCTCGAGGGTGCGTACGATAGCTCATGGACTGATGATGGTGGGGGTGGCAGTGGTTCTTGGAGAGGAGATGGGGTGAGGGAAGATGTGGACGAGCTTGAGAAAGCTCGCTTGCATGGTTGTCAAAAGTAGTGACTTTATTGAGTTGTTTGTATATGCATTCAATTTATGTGTGAAATAAGTGTATATGTGCGTGGTCAGTAGAGAGCTTTGGGAAACTCGCTTGCGAAGGCAATCGAGTTGCTTCAAGCGAAAATTCACGTTGACTGGCCACGAAGTATGGATGACCAAACATGTCGCGCTGGAATGTCCTCCTTATATCGAACCCAGGTTCGAGTCACGCACTTTCTGGTCGTGGAGACATCGAGTCCAGCTGTGATTCAACGTGGGCGGTGCTGCATGTCGGTCGCAATGTATCTAACGCACGTGGAGCGCCACAGACCAATCACAGCTCGCCTTTACAGTACTAGGTTTCCGCCATTGTGTGCACTGTTGTCAGGTCTAGGTTGGGCGTCGAAACATTTGGAAGGCCCTGCCCGCTACAGAAATCGATGCAGCTGTTACTACGGCCCGATTCACCGTTGATTCATGACAGCGACGTCAGATTGGCAGGTCAACCGTCAGAGTGGGACCCAATCACCCGACGCAGCCAGGACCCCAAACAGGGCTGTCGCTACAAGGGCAAATGCCCTTAATGCCCTGAACATCAAGGGTTGAGTTATGCATAGGTCCCCGAATTTAAGGGTTGGGTTTCAGGTCAACCCGTCTGCCTAAAGTGCTGTGCTCGGGGCTAACCCGGATTTCAAGTATGAGTCTTGGGGCTAGCCCTTTCCCCTTCGAACTGGACTCCCACCCGCCCCATTTCCCGTCATCCCAGTTCCAGGTGCAGTATAACTCTTCCCAGAGCCAGTTTCGATGTACTCTGTGAACTTTCGAGGTCGGGACCTGAAATGGTTTTTTCGAAGTCATAACCTAAACCGCAAGTCGGAGCCTGAAGTGGTCCTAGTACAAACTGTAGGTTTCCGCGTGGAATGTTAGTTTTCTGTCCGCGAACAGCATCACGATTCTGCCTTAGGTCGCAACAAGGAAGTGGGAATGCAACGGGCGGCCAATGAATACTTAGTCCTAGATCTGGGTAAATGGCTACACACACAAGTACCGGAGAGGTCCCAGTACCTCACCCTTACAATTTTGAGTGGGTTAGGCGTCTTTCCGCTAAGAGGTTTCAATCAGTGGTCTAGGCAGGCGCGTGAAGAATCAACTCGGATGGGTAGTGCAAATCCAGGGTGCTCTCTTGTCTAGCAAAAGTGCATGACACCTTGTAGCCCTGATTTCAAGTGTTGAGTTTGGCCCCAAAACGTAAATTTAAGGGAACATTTCGGGGCAGCTCAGCCTTCCAAGTTCTGGACCCAGAGCAATCGACAGCCCTGACCCCAAACCCCAATTCATCAACAGTTCTTGACGGCTGCGACTGTTGTTACAGCGCCAGCACTGAAAACGAAACGTCAAAGTCTGCCACAGGGAGGCTTGTGGGGTAAACAAACTGGCGTTGCCGAGCCACCCCACCATTTCTGCCGAACCTTTAATCCAAACTAGGCCGGGCATGGCGAAGGCCGCCATGAACAGCTCCTGCGCCTCGATCGTCGTGGTGGCTATGCCTCGAATCCAAATCGGTTTCCCCGACGTCTGCCCATCATCCATCCATATCCCTGCCCCATCTGTCTTTTTCTGTCGCCGTGATTTGACCTTTCACCAACCGCAAGTGGCTCGGACCTGCTCTTTTCCGACCACGAAGTCTACATCATGCTCGAATCGAACCCAGCGGAACTCTAGACTAGAAAGCAGCAAACGACCACCGTTTCTTCCTCCAGCCTACAATTTCGACTTTCCGGCAGCATTCATTGGTGTACAGCAGCGCGTCGGCGGGGCTTCTTCCGTGTCCGCTCCGCACGGCTGACGCGTTCCCAAGCGCTTGACGAACCAAAACCCTCCCTCCTCCCCCCTCTTTGAACCCCCCCAAACCTGACCAGCTCCCCCTGCCACCCTCCTCTCATCCCCGAACCGAAGTTGCCGCACCACCCAGCCATCCACCTGCCAGCCACCACCCTGCTAGTGGAACGAAACCCGGACAACCTTGCCTCGAGCCACCGGGTTCGGTTCGGCGCCGCAGCGCCTCGAGACCACCCACCAATGAACAGAAACCTATATGCGGCGCTGTCCTGACTCGATTCCTTGTTAGGTCTCCCTCACACTCCCCCGAACCGAGTGTCGAACCTCGAGTCTGTCCACTCGATCCGAGACTCTCCACTCTCTCGAGTCACTCTCCTCCACAGTCGATTGAACTTGGCTCGGCGGGTGCTGCTGCTTCCTCCCACACACACAGACACACACACACCACCGCTGCTGCTTCGTGTCCTCCTCCCCTCACCCCCGGTTCTTGCTCGTTTGTCTCGTCTCTCTCACCGCGTCATGAACTTCAATGCTGCTGCTGCTGTTTGATCCTGTCAGACCTGACCTGAACTCGTCAACTTCAATGAAGCACTTCCCCTTATTCTTGTGAACTTCGATGCTGCTCGATGCTTCTAAGAACTCCATTTCTGCGATAATAGATTCCATGCCCGATCTTCCCGAGGTGCCAGCGAGACAGGTTCTGGAATTCCTTCGATTAGAGTTTCTTCGATCGCTGACGTACGCCAATTGGCCAAAGCAGGTCTAGTCAACCGTTAGTTCCAGTTCAGCCTAGCAGGTACAGAATCACAGTAGAGCGAATACCTTTGTGTAGAATTGGTCGTTTATACTACCTGAATCGCAAGTATTCCTGTGCACACGTTTAGTCATGGTAGTCGCCACGTTGTACACGTGGCAGGCCGACCCGCTCTTCCTAGCGGCTGAGGAGGTGCAAGACTCGGCAGACAGGTCCGTCTCTTCTCTCTCTCCCTCTCTCCGTCTGCCGGCTTCTCTTATTCTCGTTCGTCACCTCCTCCATGGCTCCTCAGGCAGGTCCTGGTGGCGGTTCCCAATATATTCGCGATTCTTCATCGTGATTTCCTTCCAATCTCGTCGCGAATTTTGTGAACGGTCGACTTACCTCGTTCCACGTCCAGTCGCCATACGCAGGCCCTGAGTCTTTTTTTTAATCCTATAGGTTAGGCCCGTTCTAGATCCTGTTATGGGGTCGCAACCCTCTTCCTTTGGGTCCGTTTAGGTTTCTCGCTGTCCCCCTATTGCGACACATACCTACTCTCCCTCCCGTACCTTGAAGCCGTTGGCCCAAATTGTTCATGTTTTAAAAGCATGACGGGGAGGGAGTTTTTCCAGTTGGGTTGTGGCGAGACTTTGTGATTTCGAAAATTTCGTTGTTTTCGTCAAACCCAACCAGCCGTCTTTTTTCCCCTGGTGGTTGCAGTTGCTGCTCGATAGTCCCAAATTGCAGTGGTCGTCCTATTACATTTTTTTACATTTTAAGACCAGTTTCCCTCCCTTTTGTAGGCGCCTCGTTGTTTATTCTTCGCTATCTCTATCTACACTACCGTATTTTCAGGCTGCAGTCGAGCTTCCACCAATGGCAGCTGCTCCTCCAGCGCCAGGAATGCGGAGACGAACCCGCCACGTGGCAAATGCATCCAGAAAACGACAACGACGGCGACTCCATATGGCCGGTGCGGTCCGGCGACGACGAGGACGTGGTGGTTGTGACCGTTGATCAGCAAGTCGACGAGGAAGGCGTGCGACTCGTGATGCTCTGCGCGTGCGACACGCTCCGCTGGCAGCTCGAAGCCTTCGAGCGCGCGGCGCGAGACGACGAGTGGCGCGCCGAGGCGCTAGACCAGGCGCCGTCCAGCGTGAACGAAACCCGCGAGCGGCGCCGCCAGTTCGTCTCCGCGATTCGCGCGCAGCTGCAGCAGGTGCAGGCCGTCATCCGCCCCGCGATCGGCGGCGCCTCGCCCGCCGCAGTTGCCGCCGTCGCCTCCGGGTCTTCGGTCGGAAGCAGTAGCGCGGTTAGCGGTGTGGATTCCGGCGGGATAACAGTCGCTTTTCCGTCCGGTTTGGCAGCGGCCGCTTCTAACGCGTCTAGCCGAGCAGCAGCAGCAGCAGCAGCAGCTGTTGCTCCTACTGAATCAGATGGTAACCCTGCTTTCGTCTCTCCTTCATCTTTCCGTACCGCTGACGTAAGCAGCGGCAGCTGCAGCAACAGCTCATTGGACAGTCGCCTCGCGGCGTTTCTCACGCCGCCACGTGTCGCTGCTTCTAGAAGCAGCAGCGGCGGCAGCAGTAGCAGTTTCACGACTGTCAGCAGCGGCAGCAGTGTCAGTGGCGCAACTAGCACCTGTAGCGGGGCCGACAATATCGGGGATAACATCAAGGATGCTTGTCGAAAATCAGCCAGAGTTTCAGCTGTAGGTTCGGCGCCCGCAGTGCTAGCGAGCTCGTCGTCTCCCCCTCCTACAGCAGCTTCCCATTCTGCTGAGTTGGACGTTATAGAATCAGCAGGTGCTGCTGGCGCAGTGGCCGCAGCAGCAGCGGTGGCAGGCGCGGCGGCAGGCGCAGCGGCAGGAGCAGCAGCGGCGGCAGCTGGCGCAGCGGCAGGCGCAGCAGCAGGCGCAGCGGTAGCCGCCTTTTCCTCCTCCGCCTCCGCCGTGTCCTCGTTTAGCCGTTGGATCGCCGGCAGCCCAACCAGAGCCCTAGATGGCAGCGGCGATGCTGACGTGGCAGCCGGCGATTGGCTGCGGGTCCGGCAGGAGGCGATTAGGGTTTCACTCAGTGACGAAGACGAGGATATCGCCAGCCTTAACGCCTCTGCTTTTAACGGATCTGCTGGTAACGGCTCTGTTAATGGGGCGTTCGAAACGTCACGAACGGCATTTGGCGCTGAGTTACGCGGGTCACATCTGAGTCATTCGCAGCTGGGGGGATCACGGTTGGGCCGTGAGCACTCCGATTCGGAGCACGCGCCGCTATTTGGGGGAGGCGCAACCGGGGGAGGTGGCAACTCCGGCGGATTTGGCCCGGGCACGGGCGGCCAAGGCGGCTGTAGCAGTGGCCGCAGCGGCGGGTGGTGGGGGCAGCAGCAGCGGCGGTGGCGGCGCGGGCGGCAGCAACAACCGTCATGGCAGTGTCTGGTTTACTGGCTAAAGCAGATTCAAAGGCCGGGGGAGGATGGAGCAGGAGGTGTAGCGGGCGGGGGTGCTGGTGGCGGGGGGTATGGCGAGAAGGAGAAGATGGGGTCCGGGAGGCTGCTGCTCGACGGACGTATGGACATGGCCGAAATGGAACTGGTAAGTTATTGTTTCTGTATGATTTATATGGTTGTGCTTATCCAGGAGGGGGAGCAGGAGGGGGAGCAGGAGGTGTAGCGGCGGGGGTGCTGGTGGCGGGTGGAATGGGGGGGAAAGGAGAAGATGGGATCGGGTGCTCGGCGGACGCATGGACATGGCCGAAATGGAACTGTTTCTTCTTCCCTTTTCTGTTTCTATTTCCTTATCTTTCCATTTCTCCTTTCATCCACCTATTCTCTACTCCTTCCCCCTCTTTCTCTACTCACCTTTTCCCCCTTTTTTTCTCACTTGTTTCTCTCCTACCGTCGTCCCTCCCATCCCTCTTTTCTCCTCCCTCAGGGCCTCTTGCAATTAAACAACAGTCAAGTCGCTCAGATGAACGCCCATTGGCCAGCTCAGCGTCTAACAGAGGAAGACGAGGACGAAGATCAACGGCAGGGATCCTCTCACGATGACGACGCAGGCAAGAATCAACGGCTGGTGTTTGGCTGGCAGCTGTCTCTGCACCGAAAGAAGCGACGGTCGAGATCGAAAGCTGGAGGGAAAGGGGGGGAGTGTGATGGGGAGGAGGAGAGTGAGGGAGGAGCAGTGGTGCTGATGGGTTTGAATGGCAGAGAGCTAGTAACGGCACTTGTGGCTATAGTGGGTATCATTCTCCTGATACTGCTGCTGCTGTCATGGTGTGGAGCAGGGGGGTCAGCGCAACAAGCAGGCAGTGCTCCGTCCTTTCCCCCTCCAAATGATTAGTTTTGGCTGGTGTTTTGCTTAGTAATACTGCTGCTGCTGCTGCTGCTGCTGCTGCTGCTGCTGCTGCTGCTGTCTTGGTGTGGAGCAGGGGGAGCAGCGCAACAAGCAGGCAGTGCTCCGTCCTTTCCCCCTCCAAATGATTAGTTTTGGATTGTGTTTTGCTTAGTGATACTGCTCCTGATACTGCTGCTGCTGTCATGGTGTGGAGCAGGGGGAGCAGCGCAACAAGCAGGCAGTGTTCCGTCCTTTCCCCCTCCAAATGATTAGTTTTGGATTGTGTTTTGCTTAGTAATACTGCTGCTGCTGCTGTCGTGGTGTGGAGCAGGGGGGGAAGCTCAACAAGCAATCAGTTCTCCGTCCCTGCCTCCTCCGAATGATTAAGTAGGGGTACCGAGGGGTGCTCATGGGTTTGAGTGGCAGAGAGCTAGTAACAGCTCTCTGCCTACTGATGCTTCTGCTGCTCTGATCAGGGGTTGGAGCAGGTGGGAGGCAGAACAAGGGGGTTCAACACGGTTGTGGTGGTCCTGCCCGTGCATGGCCGGGATTTGTCGAAACAGGCGTTGAAATTACGATCTGAACACAGCAGTACCAGAGAATAGGAGGGGCAGCAGCAGTAGGGAGGGACAAAAGGAGCAGGGAGGAGCAGTGGAGAAGAGCAGAGCAACGGCAGCATGGAAGGGAGGGTAGAAAGGGCAGGTAGAAAGGGCAGGAATTTAATTGTGGTTCAGCATCGTCGTTACCCTTGGTTGGCGCTGGCAGTGCCTTTTGAATTGCCTCAAAAGGCAGCAGTGGTAGGAGGGGCAGAGCAGCAGCATCGTGGTAGGGAGCAAGGAGGGTCATGGATGTAGCTGTGGTTCAGCATCGTCGTCACCCTTGGTTGGCGGTAGTGCCTTATGCACTAGCAGCATTGTCTCGACCCTAAACTCTTGATTACAGGTACCTGAGACGAGGGTGTAAGTTCAAGCTTGCACCAGGTAACGGCTTTCGAGGGTTTCACAATAAGTGTGAGCGTGCATGCGGTTTTGAGGCGCCTCATCATAAGCAGACTCGAAATAAGCCCGAGGGTGCAGGCGGTGTACCGCAGCAGCAATGCAGCAGCAATGAGGAGCGGTAGTAGTGCAGGCAAGCTCAGGTGCAGAAACTCGAGCAGGAGCAGGAAGGCGGAGCGGAACAAGATACTGAGTAGTTACAGGAAGCAAGAGAGGCGGACGGTAGAGATAGGTGGTGGTGAGTAATATGCTCCTGACTCTCAGAATATTGCATTCATTCAAGGTGTTTTACCTGCATGTTCATTATATGATGCTGGGGATGTGGCATTCGTGCTTATTTTGCTCGCGCGTAGATAATTGTATTCTCATGTTATTCTCTGTTTTGTTCTCAATTGTGATTGATTCTGCTATTCTTGTTTTGTTTTGTCAAGCATAATGCACATTGGGAGACCGCAAAATTGAAATTTCACGAAATGAACAGTGTAGTTTACGAATGCGTATTTCATGAATAGAGTAGCTGTTACGAGTGCAATTGAGTGAACGAGCGAGAATTGCACTATCGAAGCAAGAGTACAATGAGCGAAGGCATGAGCGAAGAATATATAGCGAAACTACAGTGGTAACGGTAATGTGTGGAAAATGGGGTGCGCGACGGGCCTGGTGCCGAGGTTGGAAAAGTGTCGAGGCGGAGGTCCGGAGCGCGGGTTACCAACCGAACCGTGAGGTTGGGTCGCGTCGTGAATGGTGGCGGGAATGGTGTCGAAGCGAGTGTCGCGAGTGGTAACGGATCCATGGCTGGTGCGGTGCGTGTTTACACTTTGAGCGTGTTTCGTTTGTGTGTATCCCTTTGTTTTGGTGTGTATGTGTGTATGCATGCCCTGTGATTATAAAGGGCCTTGCCGTAGTATGGCAGGGGAGTGTTAGAGGGCCCTACGACAGCAAGGGCCCTCGATGACCTTTGACTTGGCAGGTCGGCGCCTAACGACTGAGTCTACTCGGCACCGACGCACGAGTTCGGTGGCGGTCATTAGTGACTACGGGTGACTGTGAGCTACTGCAGCGAACTCGGCGGAATCGGTGCTAGGAATGACGAGTCTTGGGGGTCGTAGGTGCCTTGCTTGTGAGGCACGCTGGTCACTTGCTGTGTTGGCAGGAGTAGCGTGCACGGTGAGACATTCCGGTGCCGAAATGGGTTGGAAATGTGCGGGGCGCGTTCACCCACCTGCACAGCACTTTCGTGTGGGTTGGGTTACTCGCAGCGCCACGCAACAATTGTGCAACTCTTGCTTGCCTATATATGTTTGTGTTTGCTTGTGTGTTTGATAATTGATATTGCAATTCTACTTGGCCCAAATGCTACTTCAATTCTCACAAAGTCCTTAGAGGCAAACGCTACCAAAACTCTACCAAGTTGCTGGCGCAACATCATTCCCATAGCAGAGACTCTCTCGCTATCGCTACGCTCTCTAATATATTCCTTCAGTATGCGAATTCGATGAGTGGCAGTTGCTGTTCCCACGTGGTCGGGTCGTCGCACGTGGCCCGGATGAGCTGTTCCATGGTCTGATTTGTCCGTTCTGTCTGTCCGTCGGTTTCGGGGTGGTACGATGAACTGAATTGCAGTCGCGTGCCGAACTGCTGCCACAGGTTCCGCCAGAAGTTGCTGGTGAATTTCGTGTCTCTATCGCTGATGATCGATGCTGGTATCCCGTGCAGTCGTACGACGGTGGCGATGAAGAGGCGGGCTGTTTCTTCGGCTGTGATTGATTTCTTGCAGGCTGCGAAGTGTGCCATTTTCGTCAGTCGATCGACGACGACCAGGATCGCGTCATTCCCACTCGCTCCGGCCGGTAACCCCGTGACGAAGTCCATCGTCACCTGCTGCCAAGCACGCTCTGGGGGTGGGATCGGCTGCAACTGTCCTGCCGGCCGCTTCCGTGATGACTTCATGATCTGGCAAGTGGGACACGATGCCACGTGTCGTTGAACGTCGGTCAACATTTCGGGCCAGTAATAATACCGCTGCAGCTGCTGCCGTGTTTTCTCTACCCCGAAATGTCTCGAGGTAATTCCGTCGTGTGCCTCCTGTAACAGTAATTCCCGTAGCAGTGTGTACCCCGGTACCCAGATGCGGTCAGTCCCGGCTTTTACGTAATAGACTCCTTTTGCTGCTGCGAACTGCTGCGAATTTCCTCCTGTGAAGAATGGGTCCGTTTGGTATCCGTGGGTAAATAGTCCTGTCAGTAGCGGGCTGGTCTGGGCGAGTAGTATCGCGTGGATCTGGGCAGTGGGTCGGGTCAGTGCGTCGGCGATGTTCGAGGCTCCCTTTTTATAGGTGACCGTGTAATGAAAATTGGACTCGAGGAACTCGAGCCAGCGAATCTGTCGTGGGTTGAGGTGGGGCTGTGCGCGGAGGTACTGTAGTGATCGGTGGTCTGTCCGTACTGTCACGTCTGCGCCGGTCAAGTAACAGCGCCACACTTTGAACGCATGCACGATCGCGAGCATTTCGCGGTCGTGTATCGGGTAGTTTTTTTCGGGCGGATGCAGCTTTCGTGACTCGTATGCGATAGGCTGTAGGCCGTTGCCGAAATCCTGTAGCAGTACGGCTCCAATGGCGATGTCGCTTGCGTCTGTAATAACTTCGAAAGGGCGGTGTGGGTCAGCGATGCGCAGTACGGGCGGGGAGCAGAGGACGGTTTTCAGGGCAGAGAAGGCAGCATGCTCTTTCTCCCCCCACGTAAAATTGACCCCCTTTCGTAGCAGATCCGTCAGTGGGGCTGTTAATTGTGCCATGTCGGGGACGAACCGACGCACATAATTAACGAACCCTAAAAAACTCTGCAGCTCCGTGATGTTGGTCGGGGGATGCCACGCTTTTACCGTGTCCAACTTCTTCGGGTCGATTTCAACCCCAGCCTCCGAAATAACGTGCCCTAAAAACTCTAGCCTGTCTTGAAAGAACTCGCACTTGGAACCCTTGGTCAGTAGTCTGTGCTCGTCTAAAACCTTAAATACTGCTTCCAGATCTGCTAAGTGTTGCTGCTTATCCCGACTGTATACTAGTATGTCGTCGAGGTAAACTATCACGCAGTTATCTAGGAGCGGCCTAAACGCCTCATTCATGGTCATCTGGAAAGTCGCCGGTGCGTTGGTCAGCCCGAATGGCATCACGGTGTACTCGAATGACCCATACCTTGTTCGAAATGCTGTTTTTACGCAGTCCGATGGTTCGACCCGAATCTGGTGGTAACCTCCCCGTAAATCTATTTTCGAAAAAACCCGTGCTGTTCGCAGCTGGTCGATCAGTTCGTCAGCGCGGGGAATGGGGTATCGCGACTTGACTGTTATCCGGTTCAGTGCTCTGTAGTCGATGCACATGCGAAACCCCCCGTCTTTTTTCGGTGTGAACAGTATCGGTGCGGCGAACGGTGACGAGCTCGGTCGGATGATTTTTTTCTCTAACAAGTAGTCTAACTGCTTCCTCAGCTCATCGAGCTCGGGCTGTGTCAGTCGGAACTGTCGCTGTACGGTTGGCTGTGCCCCGGGTTCTAACTCTATGCGGTGGTCGTGTGCTCGGCTGCTCTGCTTCTCCTACCAATGCTATATCCACTGCGTACACGTCAGCTCCAGCGGCGACAGCCCGTTTCATCGTGATGGCGTTGACGTGGACCGTTAAAGACTCGGGCGACTGCCAGCGAGGTAGCACGACCCAGTTACCGCTACTTCGCACAGTACAGCTACCCGTCGTCCAGTCAATTCGCGGGTTATACCGTCGCAGCCAATCACGTCCCAGTAAAATGTCGTGCCCATCCAATGTCGTCGCGAGCATTTCCTGTGTAAACCCAAAGTTCCCTCCGCAGCGGACTTTTACTCTCTCCACCTTTTCCCGTATGGCCAGCGGCGTTCCGTCCACTAAGCGTGCGTCTATTTCTGGTAAACACCGACTAAGTGTCAGTCTCAGCTTCCGTG